ATAGTGGTACCGAAAGCTGACTGTTCAGGAAGCAATGGCAAACTACAGAGCGTACATTTGCCTAGAAAAACCACAACAGCCAAGAAATGCTGGGGTTGGTTCTGCAACGTCCTCTAAAGGATATGCAGCTAACTTTCATACTAAGAATCCTTATAAAGCAAATTATGTCACACTGTTTCGTTAAGCCTGTGGTTCAATACATCCAACATCCAATATTAATAAACATTCTGTTCAGGTTTGCTTTCCCTCTTCTTTGACAGTCCCTAGTATACAAACAAGTCTGCACAGACTGGTGTCTGTGTCTGGATCCAATCCCTTGACCTGTCCAACAAGGAAAACCTACTAATAGCGAAGTTGCAGTTGGCACAGTTCTTGAGGTCACTGGAACTCACAAGTCCCTCTACCACACACAAGTGGAGATACATCAGAATGGGTATACTAGGAACTAAATAAATTTCACAATGCAATATCGTCGCCTGAAGAAAAATCCCAGCTGACGATTATTATGTTTTATTTCAATACAGAAGACACACAGTTTAAAAATCAGGCACTGTAAATAGATATCCTGAGCAACTACATATTTAATATGTCACAAATTGATATATGGAAATGGCAAATTATACACCTGAGCAACATAAAATCCTGTATACAAATTGTAATATGAAAATAAAGTCAACTTCTGCTATGACATATGGTGCCCAAAGTGTCCAGACATTACAATTAACTACACTGTACTTGCTTGTTTATTGTACACAACTAGAATATCAGACAAGGGATAAACACCTGGTGACACACAGTGCCACCATGTGGATGAGGATCACCCGTGGAAAGGTCCAGAAACCCTTTTTAGCCATTTGGGCCACAATTGTGGCCCAGCTATATTTGGGGTGGGGGGGGGGGGGAGAAAGGGTGGGGCTTCAAATAATGAAAAATTGCATCCCACAAGGGGCACGATGTAACTACACTGTAGTGTATCAAGTCTTTTTATTACAGAAAACTACCTTGGACAAATTATTATTACAGTGAACCAGACTTAGTCAAGCAATTACCACCTGTATCCAGAGACTTATTATCGGAGTGAATTATGCTAGGACAAGTGGTTTACATCCAGACACTAATTATTTCAGTGAACTATACCTTAGCAATGATGGCAAAGTTGTCCAGAAGGACCTGTGTCCATTTTGTTTCAGTTTTCTTTGGAAGGGAAATAGTGTGAAAGATTTTCTATGACACTACATCCTTTAGAATCCTCTATAGATATAAGGGTGTTTTTGCTTAGTCGTCCCCATGTGGGATGCAATTTTATTTGAAGCCCCACACTGGCTTCTGCTGGGGCCCTGAATATAGCAGGGCCAAAAATATAGCCTAGCCATAGTTATAGCCTAATGGCTGAAAGGGGTTTTTGTGACCTCTCCACAGGTGATCCTCATCCGCATGGTGGCACCTTGTGTCACCGAGTGTTTATCGCTTGCGTGGTGTCCTGGTGGGGTACAACAAGAGGAAGAGAGAGGTGGAGATAAGAGTGTTTTCGTATAAGACAATGCTACCAGAATTCAACCTATATATGTTATAACTTAAAGACCACTGATGTTAAATTTTGTACATATTATTTTTCATAGACTCTGAAATGTAGTGTTGACACACATATATAGACATTTAATATGTTCTTTTGAAAGTTATAGTTAAATAAATCGATCCATAACCCATTCAGGGGTTTTAGAAGGTACTATGATGAGAATATCAACAATCACATTGACAAACATATTAGGTTAGTTGCGTATCCTTTACAGGACGTGGCAGAACCAACCCCAGCAGCCTCTGTGTGGTTTCTCTAGGCAAATTTACGTCTAGTAGTTTGCCATTGCCCTCTGGACAGTTGGCCCCCTGATACCACTGTCGAAACCAACGCAAGGCGCATGGCCCGCAGCTGGAATTGAACCCAACACCCCTGGCATTACGAAGCGTTCGCTTCGACTTAGAAACAGAGCCGACTTGACAAAAATATACAGACATTAAAAATGTTCTTGTGAAAGTTAAAGAAATCAATCCATAACCCATTCAAGGATTATGAAGGGTACTATGATGAAAATATAAACAATCAGTGAAATTAACAAATACGTTTCTTTGGACAAGTGGTTTAGCTGGTACTGACACAATTGGACACGTGTTCAGGCTTGATAAATTTCAGAGAGGAGAGGAGTGGGTCAAGGTGTTCGAACAAGTTTCAGACTTGTGTAGGGTTCTTCTTATCACTTTTGGTCATGAATGTAGAGACTGGCCAGTTGGTGCTGCAGAATCAGAAGTTCAACAAATGATTCATGAAAATTCCCGCCCAGGTGATGTGATTATCTATACAGATGGTTCTGTGTTGAGGGCCAGACAAAGTGCATGGGAGTTCATAGCAAAGTCGATTGGAGGTCGCTTAGTGCAGCAAAGCCTTGTATATGTTATCACAATGTCTAGTTTGAGAATGGAGGTGGAGGCAGTCAGCTGCCTTCCGCTGGCTTGAGAATCAGCTGTACACACATGCCGTAATTGTAACTGGCTCACAGAGCATGTTGAAAAAGGTGAAGACAGGCATGCTTCGTGCAGAGTGGCAAGCATCACTTCAGATTAGTTAGCATCCTTTGGATATTTTCTCCAGGTTATGCCGGTGTGTTGGGAAATGAGCAGGCAGATAGACTGGCAGGTTCTGCACCACCTAGTGGTGAATTTTTGTATGACAAGCTAGATATTGTGAAGGCCCTTTGGGAACAAGTGAACAGTGCAGATACGCAGACCATTAAGGTCTGAGGAGAACAGCGCTGCGAGGAGTTACAGGGGATGTGGCCGACGTTCAACATTCAGGGGAAGGATGAGACGGATATACAATCAGATGGCTACTGGTGCCCCAGGAATTGGAACTCTTTGCTTGCTGCTGAAGATGTGTGGACGGAGCACTTATGGGAGTGTCCCGAGTGTTGTGATGAAGATTTCTAATTCAACATTCAACAAGTTCTAACAGCAAAATTCATATGATATTAAAAACAGTCAGTTTTTGGTGCAATCAACAAATGCAGTGAGTTAAAAAATAATGTCTGGAATACAGCTGAACACTATGTATAACAAGAAACAATATTTATGTAATGATAATAACCTGTGACATCACAGCACTCCGGACATTCCCATAAGCGCTCTGTCCTTATCTTAATCAGCAAGCACAGGGTTCTAAATCTAATGATACCAGTAACAGTCTGGTTGTCTTGACTGTCTCCTAGGTGTTGAGCATCAGCCAGATCCCCTTCAGACTATGATGATTTATGTGTGCCGTGCCCTCACATATCCAAAAGGTCCTTCTGATCCAAAGGGCCCTTACAACACTTCTCATCCAGAGGGCCCTTACAATATCTAGCTCATCATGCTCCACTTTTTCCCCTGTGTGGGTTCCGGGGTCCATTGTGAGGGATTGTGGGGGGGGGGGGGGGGGGGGGGGGGGGGGGGGGGGGGGGGGGGGGGGGGGGGGGGGGGAGAAGAATAGACTTCACAAGCTTGTTGTTAGGAGTCGACTAACTGGTGACTTCCTTTCGAAGTAAGACTGCATCTGTCAGAGCAGTAAGCAACAACCAACTGCACACAAATAAGTCAGTAACCAGTAAAATAATTGTTCACGCAAAACTCAGGCCCTGGCACAAAGCCAAATTCCAAATGGACAAACAATCGTGACTTTCTGCCAGAACTTACAGCCAGTGAACAAAGAAGAAGAAGATGCTTCATTTGCCCTGACAACATCTAGCTTGTCATGCATCCATATATCTCCAAGTGGTGCAGAACCAGCCAGTCTATCTGCCTGTTCCTCTCACAACATACCAGCATGCCCTGGAGAAAACATATTCAAAGAAAGCCAACTACTACTCAGGGCTTCTGAACTATGCTTGCACCTGATAATAAAACATAATGAATCTTACAGGCCTTTCATTTTTAGCAACTAAAGCTCTGCAAAAATAAGATAAAAATAAACTGAACAATTCTTTTAAAATATATCCATATAAAATGTATTTCAGAGATACAAAACCAATAAATACACAATAATTCTTTTTTAAAAAGTTTTACAAATTTAAATTACAAAAAATGAGTAACAATATCTAAATTAGGATTACACTAAACATATTTTAGAAACAAGAAACACATTTTAAAATACAGATTATAAAGCAAGAGGTCTTTTTCAAAACTAAGCACTTATCACATTTTGTTAGCAGTTCTGCCTGTCAACCAAACCATAGTTTAACCTTTCACCCCATGAATGCTAAAGGCCACAAGTCTGTGTCAATTACCAAATAAATTCTTTAAAAAGCAATTTGTACAAAGGTTACTAATTTAAAAAAAAAAAAAGAAAATTAAAAGAGTGACGCATTATGGAATGTACTTTCCATGGCATAAAAACGTGTCGGGTACCTATGTGACCTCATGACCTCTATCACAGAGGCTTAGGGGAAAATCTGACATCAACTTGGCTCTATAAACGCCATTGGGGTTAAAGCAAACCCCATGTTATTTTTAGTATTTTGGCTATGTTAAATATATTGGTGGCCTGGAGAGAATGGAGACGAAAGGTACAGTTTCTGAAAAAAAATGAGGCACGGCATGCAGACCTCCCTGAAAGTATGTACAAGAACAGAGAAGATGCATTGGTTATGAAAGCCCATAGGGCTGGAGAACAGGCTTCGAGTTAGAGAGACCCTCAGGTGTGCTGTGAAAAAGTGATGTTCTGTAAAGCTCCTGCTGATTGATGATGATCCATATAGTTTGCCTTTTAAAACTGATCTGGACTCCAGGTCAATCATTCTAAAATATGTAACAAGAAAACTTCTGGGAAATAAGAATGGCCAGCATGATACTAATCACATCAATGATTAGTGCCAATCAGTTTATACAAATATATGGAGCAAGCACCATATGCCAAATACGCTTCAAGTCCTAGAAACAGGCTCTTTACTTGTATACTTCAATAATATAAACATCATTTATCGTTGCTTGTTAGGGTCAGCTGGCCGCCAGACTGGGGCATTAGATTTAGGCAATGGTTCCCTTCCTCTGATAATGTCAGCAGCTTTCTCTGCAACCATAATAGTGGGTCCATTTAAATTACCACTGACCACTGAAGGCATAATTGAAGCATCAACAACCCGTAAACCTTCCAGACCAATCACGCGACAGCTGGGATCAACCACAGCTAATGGATCATTTGGGGAGCCCATTTTGCATGAACATGAGGGGTGATAAGCGCTGTCTGCCATCTGGCGAGAAAAGGCGTCAATTTGTTCATCATTCAAGACGTCTTTACCTGGAGCAAGTTCTTCACCTCGATATTCATCAAAAGCTTTCTGGGCAAAAATCTCACGAGTAAGTTTAATTCCATCCCGAAATTCTTGTGCATCTTCGGCTATGGTCATGTAGTTAAATTTAATCTTGGGGTGTTCATGGGGATCTTTGGATTTTACCATGACAGAGCCTCTAGACTGTGGCCTCATCGGACCCACGTGGACCTGGTAAGCATGGCATGGACCCATTTTACGGCCATGATCATTCACTGTGGAAGGCAAGAAGTGGTACTGTATGTCTGGATGGAGTACTCCTCCTCTGCTTCGGATAAATGCACCAGATTCTAGATGTGCTGTAGCCCCATATCCTGTTTGATGAAGAAACCATTCTAAGCCAATGCGAATCATATTGTGTGGGTATTTCCACTGAGCTGAATACAAAGTGATTGGTTTTTTACATTCCTGTTGGACATAGATCTCCAGATGATCTTGCAGATTTCTACCTACCCCTGGTAGATGATGAATCACAGGAATATCCACAGATTTCAAATGGTCAGCATCTCCAACACCTGATAACTGCAGCAACTGAGGAGAATTTATAGCACCTCCACAAAGAATAACTTCTTTCTCAGCCTCAACTTTCTGGCACATCCCTGTGTGTTCAAACTCTAGACCCACTGCTCTGTGTCCTGAAAACAAAATACGAAGAACCAAGGCCCTGGTGATGGTGTCCAAATTGACCCTTGCTGTTGCAGGTAACAAGTAAGCATCAGCAGCACTCCATCTCTGCCCATTGTGGATGGTCATGTCCATCCAGCCAAAACCCTCTTGCTGGTAGCCATTCATATCATCTGTAAAAGGGTAGCCTGCCTGAATGCCAGCTTCTATGAATGCATGATGGAGGGGGTGGTCAGTTTTACCTCTTGAGACTTTTAATGGCCCATCCCCTCCTCTGTATTCATTAGGACCTAACTCATGGGTCTGGGATTTCCTGAAATAGGGAAGGCAACTTGCATATGACCAACCGGATGCTCCTTCTTTTTCCCACCGATCATAATCATAAGCGTGACCTCGTACATACACCATAGCATTCAGGGAGGAACTTCCACCCCAGACTCTTCCTCTGGGCTGATACATAATTCGATTGTTCATACCAGGCTCTGGTTCTGTGTGGTAGTACCAGTTATACTTGTCATCACACAGGTTGTACATCAAAGCTGCTGGCATGCGGATCTTCCAAGAGTTATTCTCTGGACCTGCTTCGATTAAAAGCACACTGGATTTTCCATCTTCGGTTAACCGATTTGCCAGCACACAGCCTGCTGATCCAGCACCAACAATAATATAATCATATTTGCACTTCAGCAAGGGCGGATAAGGCCCGTCTGTGCTGTAATGGCGACGACAACTTAACTGGTGCCACTTTGGCTGAGACAAAGTAGAGAAGTGGCGTGTATTCAATGGAGATGATGATGATGATGCAGAAGAACTGTAGTTGATACTATCCACCTTCTGACCATCCCGTTCTTTCTCTTCTTCTCTGAGGTGCTGGAGAATTTCACTGACACTAGTCACAATATGATCAGCCTGCACAAGCTCCGAGTGGGAGCCTGTACCTGTTAGAACTCCAATGGTTAAACCAACCTGAAATGTGTACAACATCATTTGAGGTCCACATAATATTTTCATAACAACTTTATAGCATTTAACTCTTTCCATATCAACCAATTAACTATACATTTGCTAAATGCTTAGTTAAAAAATGCCTTCTTTCACTGACAGTTGTTACAACAAAAGACTATTCACAAATTATTTGCTTAGTTGCTTCTGACCCAATCTTGTTATTTCATTTTCCCCAGACCTAACCATTGTGTGCTTTAAAGCAAAACTTGATGAGTTAGACAGACATAAAGTAATCACACTTGGTACTGAAAGAGTTAAAAAAACACATTTACAACTGGCAAGATTATCCATAAACTTGCTATACATCCATTATTAAATGTTGTCTTTTTTCAGCATCCAGAATAAATTAGTTTTTATATAAGCCATGTTTCTCAATGAAAAGTTACCATATGCTGCAATAAATTAGTTAAATTATTTTTTTACACAAGCCATGTGTCAATGAAAAGTTACCATATGCTAAAACTAAAGGGTATTCATCTGTAATGGTCTATTCATTTCAATCTGTTTTTGATTTTAATTGTATTTTTATACAAATAGAAAATAAACAATTTAAAAATATCAGTTTATTTTTTCATTCAGTATTATGTAAGATTATTAATTTTCACTGGTTTTTGTTATTGTATTTTGTTGTTGTAATTCCAATCAGGGTTATGCAAACATAGGTTTATTTATCAATTTCCACTGATTTATATGACATGAATTTTTTCTTTGTATTTTCGCTCAAGGTTATGTAACATAAATTTATTTACCGATTTCCATTGAGTTATGAGACATGAATTTATTTTTTTGTATTTTTAATCTGGGTTATGTAACAACTGGATTTTCAATTTTTCTTTGATTTTAACTGTATATTTAAACAAATAGGAAAGACAATTTTTTAAATCTTAGATATTTTTATAATGAGTATTATGTAAGATAAATTTATTTATTAGGCGACACAATTTTTGTTATTTTATTTTGTTATTGTTGTATTTCCACTCAAGGTTATGCAACATAGGTTTATTTACCGAATTCTGCTGAGAGATGTGACATGAATTTTTTGTGTGTATTTTCACTCCATGTTATGTAACATATGGCGGATAGCAGCAGTGTTTATTTTCGCTGGTTGTCCATTCTCTCGGAATTGTTCTATTTCCTAATCATGGAGTCCTATTTTGTGTATTTTCACTCCATGTTATGCAACATATAGCGGATAGCAGCGGTGTTTATTTTCGCTGGTTGTCCATTCTCTCGGAATTGTTCTACTTCCTAATCATGCAGTGCTATTTTGTGCGCATTTCCAACGCAAGATACTATGTCTTTTTCGGGGAAGCGGCATGGACTGAGTTTGTGCTATGGCGGGGCAGGATAATGACCGATAGGTTTGGCAGCCTCCACCATGCGGCCTTCACAATGTTTTGATTGCAGCGGCCCACTCAGGAAGACAGAATCTCGTCAGCAGGGGACTGCAACTGTCTAGAGAGCGAACTCGATAAAAGCTGTCCCCAGAAACGGAATGTGTCAACCAATTTTTTTGGTGGGAAGGAATCGACACATACGGTTAACTCAATGGCCATGGCCATGTAACATACGTTTATTTACCGATTTCCACTAAGAGCTATGTGACATGAATTTATTCTTTTGTATTTTCACTCAAGGTTATGCAACATAAATTTATTTACCGATTTCCACTAAGAGCTATGTGACATGAATTTATTCTTTGTATTTTCACTCAAGGTTATGCAACATAAATTTATTTACCTATTTCCACTGAGAGCTATGTGACATGAATTTCATTTTTGTATTTTCACTCAGGGTTATGTAACATAAATGGATTTCCCTTACATTTAGGAACATTTAATTCCTAGTATGGCACACAATTAGATATACAAAGTGTCAAATTATATACTGATATAGGTACTGAGGTCGGCTCATAAAAACACGATGCCATGGTCCGAGGTATGTGGAACGTGGGGGTGAGGAAACAGGAAGGGAGTATAGATAAAGAGGAAAATGATTGCAGATAGGCTGAGAGGTGAGCATCTGAGAAACTTGTTCAAGGTGCGCAATGGCAACAGTGGTCCTAAAATCCCATGTCCCAATAGTGAAAGACCTTTATTTTTTCAACCTGAGCAGGTCTTGTTAGTCACACTCGCCATCACCTTGGATTCTGATTCCCATGCATTCCTATAGCACAGCATAACACTATTGTCTGGAAAGATGGAAAGGTGCCAGCCATCTGGTACTGACTAATTCTTCTCTGTTGTGTCTCTGCCTCGAAGTTGCAGTGGGTTTGTGTTACTGAATGACCCCAAGGACCATGCTAGTTGTACTGTGGCTACAATTAGTCTCCCATGTTGGACAGGTAAAGGGACAGAAAACAGGACAAATAATCACCAGCTTGCTCCCTTGCAACGAGGAGCAGCTGGCTGAATTGTTAAGAACCCTTGGTTTTCCAATGGGAGATTCATGTTCAAATCTTAAGTAAGGCTGGGGATTTTTTTCTGTTCAGGGGCAAAATAAAACACTAACCTGCACATTCCATGGTGACAGCCCTAGCCATATAACCCTAAATCCTCAGGTTCAAAGACTTTCTACACTGTAAAAGGGGTAAATACAGGGAGTAACTGGCACTGTATTAAACTCAAGAATCCACTATTCAGAGGAAAATCCAACAGGAGAAAAAAAAAAATCCATCCAATTACATCTTCTTCTTCTTATGGTTCATATCGTATGGTGTTGGTAGTTTCGTCTATCCACAACCTTCTGTCTTTAAATCAATTCTGACATAAATGATCTTCCATGACATGGTGTCGAACTGTCCAGCATCTTCTCTTGGCCTCCCTCTGCATCTTTTCCCCTCTAACTTTCCCACTGTCACAATGTACTTTAGTTTTCTAATTCTGATGAAATATAACCAAAGTATAACACAGTTATGTTAGGGCTTCAGCTGCTCAGAGCACTAGCTATAAGTACGTTTACGTGGACCTTAACAGCTAAACTCAAAAAGAAGATAACAAGAATTAGAAATGCAACCTTTCCAAAAAATTCTTGACATATCATACAGAGACACATCACAAATGATGAGGTTCGCCAAATAATTACCTTGCATACTGGCAACTATGAACCCCTTTAAACTACAGTAAAAGATGGAAAATGCAATGGTATGGACATGTAATAAGATCTAACGGCCTCTCAAAGATAACACTGCAGTGTATATTCTAGTGCAAGCATGTAGAGCTGGCTCATGTCAGTCTGTATCATAAGGAGTGCTGTTTGAGCTTATGATTCTAGGCCCATATTTTTGTTATAAACGAATCAGCACTATATGGCCAATCGTACGGGATACCTTTACTTCTAAGGACATCTCCTGGTACCCATTTTAGGCTGGGGTACATGCTTAAACCAATCAGCACTATATGGTCAATCATATGGGATAACTTTACTTCCTAGGACATGTCCTGGTACTAATTTTAGGCTGGGTCTACCTATGATCTGAGATCAATTATAAAGAAAGAGATAAAAACAGGGGTGACTGCAGTCAAACTAATAACAATACAATAATCCACCAAACCATGACAAAGAAACCTAATAAAGGGTTGGGGGGGGGGAGAAGGGATACAATGCACACACATAAGAAACCCATGTGGAGAAAGGCACTGGCTGAAACTTTCTTGAGTATGTTTTTTCCCTATACCTTTTGTTAACATTTTGGTCATAGTTCAGTGGATAATTTTTCTTTGTTTAAAAAAAAAAAATAATAAAAAAAGACAGTTCGGTTCAATGTGGATTTAAATCCAAGACATTCAGGCCACAAACTAGAACCTACAACTGGATGCAAGTATACAAAAATGTTGTTAATGTTTTTCTATAAAGGTCTTTATGTACAGTAAACTTAATACATTTTAAACATGTGCAATCATATTAAATATAATTAACAGTTTTGAAGAAAAAAAGGAAGACATTTAATAAAAATAAAAATAAAACAGTTGTATATAACAATTATTGAGATCAAACATGCTCACAATTTATAATCACTCTTGAGATTCTCAAACAAATACTGTGTTTGAACAAGTTAGTTTTAGATAACTATTTGTGCATAAATGCAACACAAATTAATTCATTAAATATTAACTGAAATTAAAAATGTGGTAAAAATAAGTGAGCATGTGTAGAAAGAAACAAAAAAGACCAAAAGTGGGCTACTCTATTAACTCTTTGAGTCCCAAGGAACACATCACGAGCTTACTGGTTATAACCCACGGCCCAATCGGCGTGTAACCAGTGAAGCTTTTTAGTTTACCACTGACGCCCGGCTCTCTAGTGAAGCTGGCTAGTTGCGCAGTGACCGGGTGACGAACTCCTTGTGGTCCAGGTTCACTCCGGGGGGTAGGCAGAAAAGCCACATTTTCTCCTAGATTTACGGTATTTACAATGGAATCAAGGCCGAAAGGTTGCGATATCCATAATACCGAGCCTAAGGGTTAACAACTCATGGCTTCTGGATACTCAAACAAACAGTTTACCACTGACCAGTAATAAAACACGGACCACTTAATTTCAACTTCCTTTTCAGTTCTTTGTGTTTGATATCAGGCGTGCTAAACATCAGACATTTGGAAATATGGTTAAAAGACTAAATTATTGTAAATCTGCGAGGTTTACCGAGTTACTGTTTGTTTAAAAACAATATGTCTACCGAGCAGTATTCTAATGCGTGATGCATGATTTACAGCTTTAGAGCCTAAAATTTAAGTAAAACACATGTTTAATAGATTTATCTGAAGTTAGATAGATAGTTTTGCGAAGTAGACTTGTTTCAGTCATTAACAGAGTTAAAATATGATGAGGAATAGTTCTAATGTGTACCTCACGCGAAGGGTACAATGATAACAAAGTCAGCTGGCACAAACAGAATAAACAGTGAAAAGATGATTTCCTTCAGTGTCAGTTAGTGCTAGTGCTATTCCCTTTATTATTTA